GATTCCAAAAAAGTTGGGACACTGTACAAATTGTGAGTAAAAAAGGAATGGAATCATTTACAAATCTCATAAACTTATATTTTATTCACAATAGAATATAGATAACATATCAAATGTTGAAAGTGAGACATTTTGAAATATTGGCTCATTTTGGATTTCATGAGAGCTACACATTCCAAAAAAGTTGATAAGTGTCTACAAATCTCCAGCAAGCCACTCTAGAAAAATACGCATTTTGCTAACTGACTTTTATCAAGGTAGAAAGTACAAGAAAGCAATAGCCTATATAAATTCCGAGTACCACCAATGTCCTTTAATTGTGTATAACCATGAGTAATGTTTTCCTTAAATCTCGTTCAGTGCGCTCCGGCTCCAAACACATGTTCACAGTGACACAGTCATTCACAAACTGGTCCAGCTGGGGCTCAACACTTCGCTGTGCAACTGGCTGTTGGACTTCCTGACTGGAAGACCTCAGGCAGTACGGGTCGGCAGCAACACATCCAGCACCATCACACTGAACTTGAACTTGAACTTGAACTTGAAGGAGGCGTATCAGTTTATAGACCCAACCAATGAAATACGTTTTCACGGACCACACTCGAATCCTATTGGTTTGTACCATCGTCAGTTTTTGAAGTCAAGCTGTCACACAAAAGACAACCATAAACAAAGGTGAAAGAGAACGATTCATTCCCTTAAAAGATTTGTTCGAAAAAACAAATTTGTTCATAAACACCAGTCGTGCCTCCAACCCATTTTAAAGGGGTCATATGATGCGATTTCAATTTTTCCTTTCTCTTTGGAGTGTTACAAGCTCTTGGTGCATAAAGAAGATCTGTAAAGTTGCAAAGACTAAAGTCTCAAATCCAAATAAATAATTTTTATAGAAGTTAAGAGTCAACCACACCTACCTAAAATGGCTCGTTCTAACACACCCCCACATGTCTACGTCACGATGTGGGAAGATTTGCATAACGCCGCCCAAGGGGCCGTTCACATATAGCATATTTTACTCGCTTATTCACACAAATGCCGAGTCACCAATTGACCAGCTTTGGCCCTGCCCATTGCATGTTAGTCATACGCTTTATTCGTTTGCCATGTAATTTATTACATTTATTTACATCCATGTATTCTCCATGTATTCTTTGCAGGTTGATCGGGTCTTCATAGGGGAACAGTGCATTGGAGGAGGAAGTGATGTCGACGGTCTATGGTTCAGAGCCGTTGAGCTCCATAAAGCCGCATTTGACAGGGTATGCCAGCCACAATCTCATCCATATTGTTATAAAAGATAGCATTCTGTGTAGAATTCAAATAGCTCCGATACATTTTGTGGTGTGCGCTGACTCGCGCATGTGAACCGCTCCGTGCTATCGTGTCTCTGGACCGGAGCAGAGTGTGCGTGCGGTGCGGTGGTTAGCGTGACACAGCGCGAAACCAGACTTATTTTTTTCCTCAATGGAAAGCATGTTTACACTGTTTGAATCGTTCCCTGTCCCCTATATAGTGCACTTCACTGTACAGAAAATACTAATTCTGTGGACAAGTGACCGATTTCAGCCGCGGCTTCAGCGTCTATTTTATAGTGTAGGGGGCGGGCGGATTCTAGAAAGCATTTGATTGGACAGAAAGTTTGATGAGGAGCTGAAGTACGATGTGACGTCAAAAAAAATCGTTGAGCCGTTTTGGCGGAAGTGACGAACTGCAAGCTTTGAATGCTTATATCTTCTAAATGCGCATTTTGTCACTGTTTTGGAGCACACTGCCTTATAGATAACCTTAAGACTAACATATTGATACTAACACCCAAAAAACTTTCATTTTGATTTCATGGGGACTTTAAGGAGCGTAACATTTCCGTCACACAACGCACTGGATAGCTGGCCAATCAGAGCACACCTCGCTTTTTTAGAACGATGAGCTTTGGGCATAGAGGAGAAACAATAATGTACATTATATGGAAAATAATGTGTTTTTTGAACCTTAAACCGCATAAACACATTGCATTACACCAAGTACACAACATAATGTTTTTTTTAGCAACGTCATATGACCCCTTTAAATTTTACCGAGGTGTGGTTAATTTTAATCCCGCCTTACTTTGAAGGGTGTGAACCGACGGGAACTACGTGACTCACAAAGCCTGGAAAATAGCTGTTGACCTCCCTGGAGCCGTGAACAGCGGTGCTTGTTACGTTAAGAGCAATGGCAGAATTTGTTAAGGCGCAAATTAAGGGTGACAAAGTAGTTGTGTTTCTGAAGCCGACCTGCCCTTACTGCATACTCGCTAAGGATGTTTTGTCTAAGTATAAATTCAAAAGTGGACACTTAGAGGTGATCGACATAACCGGAAGCAGTGACATGGGCGGCATACAAGACTATCTACAGCAGATCACAGGCGCGCGCACCGTGAGTACTTATAATGGTGTTTTATATATATATATATATATATATATATATATGGTAACATTTTTGTTATATTAGACCAGACCGTCAGTCATTACGTCACACTGCCACAGTTACATGAATTCTAAATGTATTAACTTCAAACAAAACTTTTTTTTAATCTTAAAAGTAAATTTTCAGTATTATTAGGCCTATATATTATTATGGTGGTAAATATGGCGACATTGTTTTTACTCGCTTATTCACACAAATGCTGAGTCACCAATTGACCAGCAGCTTTGGCCCTGCCCATTGCATGTTAGTCACATGCTTTATTCGTTTGCCATGTAATTTATTACATTTATTTACATCCATGTATTATTTGCAGGTTCCTCGGGTCTTCATAGGGGAACAGTGCATTGGAGGAGGAAGTGATGTCGACGGTCTGGACCGTTCTGGAAAACTGGAGGGCATGTTGCAGGCAATTGGATCTCTGCAGTGAAGGTATACAACACAGTCCTTCTTTATAAAATATTAAAAACAATATATACAACGATTACATCAGTGCTTCGAAACTGGTTTAGCCTCAGGGCCCAGATTTCCTATTAAACATCAAATGGCCATCATCCCAAAATAATGTATTGTACAAAGAAATGTTGATGAAGCGTTATAAGAAACTGCTTTTTCTCTCAGCAGCCAGTAATTCACTCCACAAAACACATTTTGGTCAGCACAAACCATATTCTAAATTTAAAAAATGGTGTTTTTTATATTTGTTTATTTTATTTTAGCATGTATTTTTATTTCAAGTACCAAGATTTTAGTTAACTATAATAACCCTGTCTGGCTCATGTTGTCTGTTACTCTACATAGTTTTCATCTTCAGTATCATTGCTTTTCCCACCATCAACAACTGTGTTAGGACAGACCTGTGACTCATTTTTGGGTCAGGACCCACCCCTTGAGAACCACAGGTTTAGATTTAAGTCAAAGACTCTCAGAGCAAACAGCATCATGATACAATGTGCTCGACCTCCCATTTTCAATATAATGAATCATGTGTGAATGTTAACTTGAATGCTACTTTATTCAGTTGATTAGGTTCATGCATGAATGCTGCCAGGTTCACCATTTTTACACAAAATTAGATAAAACTGCTAAATACGCAACCATTTTTGGTTACATTCAAGATGATGCCACTAAAAAAAAATGTATTTGTTTAAATACTAGCTCACTAATTAAATACTGTGCAGTACATATGCTTAAACAGTAGGCATTATGTAATAATGAATATTTCAAACAATCGTATGCTACATTGTATGACTTTGTATGGTTTCGATTAAAGCCACAGACTCACGGAACAAACACGCATCCTTCTAAAATGTCTTTATTCAGCATGAGATGAGGGTCAACATAACTGGACTAGACTAATCGGCTCTACGTCGACCAACTGCACTAAGAGGCGATGTTACAAAAATAGTTGCATCAAATTCAAATTAATCTCATGGGGGGAAAAAAATAAATATTCGAAATTTATTCAAGTCATTGCTGGAGTAACCACTGAATTCAGAAACAAAGAAATCTCACCATGACATAACATGGCTGACCATGAGAGTAACATATCAATCTCTGGAGAGAGTATAAGATCGACCCTACCCTGTTTAATACTTTGGGATTAATCCATCACAGAGGAAGTTTATTGCACCAATCAGGCATAATCGTTAGTATAGAATTATCCACATAGAAGAGTACCGGCGCATAGGATCCACCAGTGAGAATTCACAGCTGTCTGCTTTATATCACAGGGTCAGAGGTCAAAGTTTGTGTGACTACAGTACATCAGAATCCACCTTCAACTCAGGAGTCAAACAAAGGTCTCTTTCATCCTGTATTTAAATAAATCTCCAATTTGCATCCTCTGTTTTTCGCCCTCCCTTCCGGTCCGCAGGGCGTCAAGAAGGGGTCACATGATGCTGCAGCGAGACTTGCGGATCTGCCGTCTGCGTTGCTGGTACTCGCTGAGCTCCTGTAGGTAACCTCTGGAGGGCCAGCGCAGTCGCTCCACCTGCTCACGCTCCTCATCTGTCAAAAAAAAGCATCACAGGAAAATATTGCTACAACATTCCCTTCTGCTGAACGCCAATGCATTTAAACACAGCATAATATCCGTCCACCAGATTAGTTTTTTACCTTGTTCTTCAATTAAAATAATGTCATTGTCTCTATTTGTTTCCCATTGAGTGTATTAAAAAAAATTTGAAGTCTTAAAAAAACTGAAAATAAAATATTTTCCTGTCAAAGTTTGCTTGTTCCATTCATTGACTCACAAATACACAATTCATGAGGTGACACTTATTTATTCGCCAAGTGCGTGTGGAAGGGCAGGACATACTAATTAGGTCTGACGATGATTCATTTGTTTCAAAAGTGACCTTACAGTTGCTCTCAGTGTTCCATAATGAAGCTTTGACAGAAGTGGGTAGTGATTTGCATGGGCTTGTGCGCAGCAGCAGCTGTTAGAAGTGCTCTCAGGGCGTTGGGATCTGGCTTTTGTCACAGTTAGAGATGATTGTGCATGTGTTCTAATGCGCTTGAACATCCTTTCCAGGTGGTCAAACGGACGGCTCACCTGATAGCTCCAGGAAGTCAGGCTTGTGACTGAAGATCAGGTAGTTATTGGCAATGAAATGGAGGAGCCAGACATAGAGCTGGTCAGCGTTGTGACACTAATGAGAGAGATAGAGAGTGAACATGAGATCAGATAGAATGTTAGAGACTGATAAACGTGTTGGATGTATCACAGATTGTATTTCGGGATAGTATACTACTGTACTATTTTTGTAAGCAAATTTTTGGTATGCCTGGAAAAACCCTATGACATAATACGGTTGATCAAATGTGTAGTATACAATGTTGTTATTGTTAACTAAAACTATCAAAAATAATTTTCGGTAATTGAAAAATATATAAATAATAGATGAAAAACTTGAATGAAAATTAGAAATGACTTTGGAAACTACCTGAAATAAGTTTCAGCTGAGGTATAGCTAAAACTTAAATAAAAATAAATGAAAGCAAAATATAAATAATAGGGAAAAAACATCAAAAGCACACAAAAATGACAAAACTACATTACAAAATTAATAAAAAAAATTTAACTAAAATTGAAACAAAAAAGAAAATATACAAATAACAGCGAATTAAAAATATTAATAAATACAACAATAGTATATAAATAATGCTAAAATAACAATAATCTTAGACAGTCTTAAGACAAAACTTTTATTATAAAAATGATTTAACGATAATCTTTTGAACGTTCTATTCATGAAAGAGTCCTGAAAAAAAAACATGGTTTCCACAAAAATATTAAGCAGCACAACTGTTTTTAACATTGATGATAATAAAAAATGTTTCTTAAGCAGCAAACCAGCATATTATGATTTCTGAAGGATCCTGTGACAGTGAGGACTGAAGTAATGATGCTGAAAATTCAGCTTTGCCATCTAAAGGAATTTTTCAAAAATATATTAAAACAGAAAACGGGTATTTTACATACATTTTTATTTTTTTTTACAATATTACTGTTTTTACAGTATATTTGATCAAATTAATTCAGCATCGATGAGTATACGATCTTACTAACCTCAAATGTTTGAACGGTAGTGTATTTTACAGTTTGAAACATATCTTTGCTTACTGGTTCACATGCTGTTATTAAAAATAGGCAGTATGCGGTATAAATATTTTAAGTGAAAATATAGTGATATTATGGGTCCAAAGCACTCAAATCAAAGATGTGACACCTTTATCAAACACACCCCTGTTGATATAGAGATGTAAAGACTCACCTTTGCTCTCCTCAGTAAGCGAATCACACCGATGCCCGTAGACGCTAGCTCTCGACTGGGCATACTCTGAAGATACGCGCAGACACACACTTCACACAGGTGCTGCAGCCGTTTCACCTGGTACATCTCTGCGCAGACGAGCACAGCCATGGCCTGCAGCACACTAGCTGAACACACAGACACACAGCACTGTCAATCACCTCCTGTTTCCCCCTCCATCAAGCTCAGTTCCTATTCACCCTCTGTCAATCAAGCTCAGTCTCTATTCTCTCAACAGTGTTGTTTAATGTCCTTGATATGAACGGGGAAGCATCCATCACATTGATTGACAGAATGAGTCAAACAATCTGACATACTAAACCTTCCTTCATTGTTTAATGATAAATACAACCTGAATCATTACATGTCATTGTGATTGAAACATGGATTATGTTGCACAATACAGTGAATATAAAAAGCCATTGTTAGGCACAACATACAGAAGAACCCCTTTATTCTCACTTCATATTGTAAATGTTAATATTATTACCTAATCAGGTAAAAAAAATTAAGAACTTACACTACCATTTAAAAGTTTGGAGTCAATAAGATCTCTTTTATTTTATTTATTGGGAAAAATTATACAGATACTGAAAGAAATTTACAATGTTACAAAATATTTCTATTTCAAATAAATGCTGTTCTTTTAAACTACTTTCTATTGTAATCCTGAAAAAAAATGTTTCCCAGTTTCCACAAAACATTTAAGCAGCACAACTGTTGATACTAACAAGAAATGTTTCTTGAGCAGCAAATCAGAATATTAGAATGATTTCTGAAGGATCGTGTGACACTGAAGACTGGAGTAATGGCTGCTTTGCCATCACAGGAATAAATTATGATAATTCAAATATATTAAAATAGAAAACAGTTATTTTAAAATTGTAATAATATGTCACAATATTACTGTTTTTACTGTATTTTTAATCAAATAATTGCAGCTTTGGTGAGCATAAGAGACTTCTTTCAAAAACATTTAAAAAATCTTATCGACCCCAAACGTTTGAACAGTTGTGTATGTTTTCAATAAAAAATATTTTATGAAACAAAATTATTAAAGGGATAGTTCATCCTTGAATGCGGTTAGTACTGTGAACATTTGTCATTGGGAAAATCAGGTCAGCCATGCAAATCCATGGAAAATTCCAAGTTTTTCAGGTGTTAGTGTTAGTTCATTCTATTGCATGATTTGATACTCAGACTAGGTCATTCTCTCTCAAATTGTAGTTAAGTCCTCTGAAGCACATCTGAAACAATTTATTGACCAATCAGCATCCAGGACCAGAACTATCTACTTTATAAAAGCATTTAAAGGAATAATTAGCTTCATTTTGTTCTAAAGAAATTTTTTTTTGTCCATACAGTGAAAGTCAATGGGGTCTGATGTTGTTTTGAACAGTTCTTATTTTGCTCAACAGAAGGTGTGGAATGACATGAGGGTGAGGGTGATGACAATTTACATTGTTATCTCTTTAAGGCAGGGTTTTCCAGTCCTGCTTCTGGTTTTTCTCCATCCAGCAGGGTTGCCAGGTTTTCACAACAAAACCCGCCCAATTGCTATTCAAAACTAGCCCAAAACTAACCCAATCGCATTTCGAGGGGGTAAAATACGCGTTTTTTTGGTGGGGTTCCCCTGGTAAAATTTGCATTTAAGTGAGCATGAAGATCACAAGTGTGTGTACAACTTTTCATTACCTGATGGGACCCACTTATAGTGTTGTAAAAACGCAAAGTGTTTACAGAGTTTTCATTATTTTCAATACTTTGCATTTTAAAATCAACTTCTAAATGTCTGTTCAGTAATTTAACAATTTAATTAAGTGATAAAAAGCAGTTGCAAATGTTGTACAAAAATAAATATACTAATCTTTGCAGCAATAAAATGTGTAGCACTTTGTTTTACCACCAAATTATATGTAATATCTTATTATTATTAATATTTAACTTGCATTGTAAAGGTTTCCGTGACCTCTCGCGCGATCTTGGCAAAAAGTCTCACGATTTATTTCCAGAACATGATGCATGATGGGATACACTAACCCTCGAATACCGCTCCGGAGCGGTATTCGAGATAGTGTGGATTTAGTGTGCGTTAAGGGCACTGCGCTTTGGTATTTTTAAGACCTGGGACAGTCTTGCGCACTTAATTCCTGTCGCGCACGCACTCTCAAGTGGCACAAGGGGTGTCTCTCCAGGAACAGGTTTGGACACTACTGCTTTAAAATCCTTGAAAACCACACTCTCACCTGGACAGCAGGTGTCAGTGTAGAGGTACTCCAGGAAAGCTAGAAAGGTATCAGACGAGACTCCATGTATTGGCACCACACGACTTCGTGCTTCTGCATATTTCCCACTGAACATGGCAGCCATAACATCACAGCGGGCCACAAGCACGGCTCTGTGCGCTGGCAGCACGCTTCCTGCAAGCAGACGCACAGCTGACCTCTTAAAACACACTTACACCCATGGAGTCAAGCATTACAGAGGAGCTCTGACTCAAACACAAGCCCCTCCCTTGTACTTTCCAGCTTTGAGCAGTCTGAATCAATGCACCATTGTGTGCGCCTGTGTGTACATGTTCATGCACGTGTAGGGTTAGCATTGACTCTTGCCTTGCACCATGAAGATGACATCAGAGTATAGAGGGGAATTGAAGAGGCTTCCCAGTGTCAAAGGACCTTGTTGAGAGCGGGGTGTGGGTGTGTCCCTGGGGGCCTGCAACCAGAACGAATCGACACTGCAGTGCACAATCTGAGGCGATGAATACTGTTAGTACTGTGAGCATTTAGATTTGAGAAATCAGGTCAGCCATGCAAATCATTAGAAAAAACCTTTGCATGGTCCAGTTCTGTTGTATAATCAGAGAGCCTCCTGTCTGTCAGATGGATACCTTTTCTCTTCCAACGAATGAGCGTATCCTGTCAATCAGCTGGGCTACGGCCAAAGGGTTCTTCAGTTTTTCAGCAATAGCTTCCTCCAGGTATTCCCATTCCCAGGCCCCTGTGAAAAAATACACATCACCAGCACGCACTGACCCATGAACGCATCCTGCTCACACATGCATTAACTGGCTGTCCGGCTGACCGCGGAGTAAATCTCAACCTTTTACACTGGCTGCTCAGATCTGCTGGAGTTTAACCAACAGTTCAACCTCTCAGTGGAGGTACACTCTTAAAAATAAAGATTTCAAAAGGGAGTTTTCAAATCAGGCCCATAACCATTCTGGGCTCCTTAAAGAACCTTTCGGTGTACAGTTCTTAAAGGGATAGTTCACCCAAACATTTTAATTGTGTCATTAATTACTCACCCTCATGTCCTTCCAAAACCCGTTAGACCTTTGTTCATCTTCGGAACACAAATGAAGATACTTTTGATGAAATCCGAGAACTTTCTGACCCTGCATAGACAGCAACGCAACTGACACGCTCAAGGCCCAGAAAGGTAGTAAGGACATTGGTAAAATAGTCCATGAGACATCAGTAATTCAACCGTAATGAATACTTTTTGTGCGCAAAGAAAACAAAAATAACAAATTTATTCAACCATTTCTTCTCTTCCGTGTCAGTCTACGCTGCGTGTTCACGAGAGTACCACGACGCAAGGAGCTGGCGTTCTGACGTAGAACCTGGATAGGCTGCGCCTTGTTTACAAGCAGAGGAATGCACAATGCGCGTTGAGACTGACACTGAAGAGAAGAAATAGTTGAATAAAGTCATTATTTTTGTTTTCTTTGTGCACAAAAAAAGTATCCTCGTAGCCTCATAAAATGAAGGTTGAACCACTGATGTTTTTAATGATGTTCTTACTACCTTTCTGGGCCTTGAACGTGTCAGTTGCGTTGCTGTCTATGCAGGGTCAGAAAGCTCTCAGATTTCATCAGAAATATTTTAATTTGGGTTCTGAAAATGAATGACATGAGGATGAGTAATTCAGTTTTGGGTGAACTATTCCTTTAAAAGAACCATGCGAAGAACATATTGAAAATCTAAAGAACCTTTTGTGGAAGGAAAAGATTCCATGAATGTTAAAGGTTCTTCGTGGAACCATCAATGCCAATAAAGAACCCAGTGTACAGGGCTGGTGGATTCAGTTACAGCTTTAAAAACAGCTTTTTTTCTCAGCTTTCTCTTCTCCATTAACTATACCAGGATACAAAAAGCCACAAATAAGGTGATGGAACAGCTGTTTTCCACAAGAATCAAGTATTCTTGGTGACAGCTAAGAAAATAAAACCAATATTTAACTGGTGTTATTTCATAGTAAAGACATAGTTTCCACTGCTCTGTCACATAAAAATGTTCATCCGTCACAGTTGAGCTGATTTAATATTAACTCAGCCTCATTCGTAAATCTGTCTAGACACTACCCGAGTGGGATTTGATCCGAAAGAAACCACGCACAATGAGTTTCTGTGCATCATTTCCGTTAATGTAACGACCGCCCTTGGTTCACTGGAGGAAAATGGACTCTGGAAAAATCACACTATATATCAGCAGCAGGGTGAGATGATCTCATCAGTATGGGGCTCACCTTCTCACCTTCTGAGCATGGCCTCACTCTGATAAATGAGTCTATAATATCCATTCCTGTTTCCTGGACTGTTAAAGCCTCATCTGAACACCTGATTGAGATGCATGTCCATCCTTCCAGCCTCCATTTTGCATCAGAGGTCCCAAAGAATGGGGAACGGGAGGTAATATTCCCAGCTTATGAGGAATGTTGTGGCGGGCTAATACAAGCATAGAATCACAATTGTGTACTTGGGTGAATGTCACGAAAAGCATGTCCAGGACACACTTCACCCCAAAGTCTAAATAATTGCATTGTTTGCATAAAGGAAATGCTCTGACTTTATTGTCATGACATTTAAAAGTGACTTTCCCTTATTAAAAAGAGTTAAACTTGCAATTAAAAGTACTTGTTAGGTCTAAAAATGCTGTTCCATTTTACATGGGCCATCATGTGAAGATCACATGACCAGCTGAATACTACTTGCTTTATCCATTATTATAAGGTACTTCAGCTCACAGAATAAATTAAACATGGCTGATTTGAATAGTGCATTTCAACAACAGCATCAGTAACACAAAATGTTGCATGATGCTGCTTTCAAACCACAAGGTGTCAGTATTATTGTATGCAATAATTGTATTGTGTGTGTGTGTGTGTGTGTGTATATATATATATATAGTAAGAAGAGATGTTTGCCATATAGCTGGCAATATAAACAAAAAATTACTGAGCGCAATAATTACTGTTAGGTGTCTAGATATTTTGTTGTTATTGTATATTTAGATTCGGTACTGTAAATTACTATAATACAATTCATTTTAAATCAGCATAAAATAAAGCCAGTTACAAATACTATAATAAAATATAAATATTTTAGTTTAAATGATAACTATTTATTTATTGCATTATGGGTATATTATTAGGAGAATTTCTTTCTTTCTTTCTTTTTTAAATCCTTAATTGCCATAAAAATAATGTCACGATGCAAGCAAGAAAGAAAGAAAGAAAAATCGTTGTGGCCCAAAAACAGTCAACCTTTTATTTAAGCAAAAGATTATTATTCTTTTGATTTTAAGGATAAAATGTTTGTTTGTTTATTAATTGTTGTTTGTATTGTATTGTATTACGGTTATAAGAATTTGGGAGGAAAAGGTTAACTGTCATGAAAATATTGCCACAATGCTAAAAATCTTAATGTTCCAAAAACAGTCAACATTTTAAGCAAAACATTTTTTGATTTTTTTGATCTTTTGATTTGGGGGTAAACTATTACTTATTTATTTACTTGCTTTTTATTTTAGCAAAACATAATTATTTAATTCTTTCTTTTGATTTTGTGGTCAAATATAACGTGACATGTTACTGAGAGGTTTTGTGAAATTCAGCCCTTACCATAATCATAAATTCAAAATGTTTTATAGAGGCACAAATATTGTATATCATATCTTTTTTTCTCTCTTATGTTGTCTCATATGCATATACAGTCACACACACACACACACACACACTTAAACAGAAAAACAAGCACACACACACACACACACACACACACACACACACACACACTTAAACGAATAAACGAAACACACACGCACACAGATGTCTCTGTCCTCCCATGCATGTTAATCAGCCCCACAGCTCCAGGGTCTTATAGAGTGGACTGCCATCATACATGCACATGTAGAGATATAGAGATATAAATCAGTCAGGCCTTAGACACAAATAAACAGCCTCCAAACTAAAGCCATTTTAATTGTGAAACCGTCCTATAAAACTTCCTTCTTTTCAAACACAAAAGAAAACACAATTGCAGAGCTGAAGAGATAAGGCCGTGAATGGGAGAGAAACATTTCAACCGTAACTCAATTGAGACGCCTAAACCAGCAGAACTAGGAAGCTTTTTCAAACTGTTTCCTTCAATAATGCTAATCTCGCTTCATATTTACGGTTGTGACAGGATTCTTCATGGAAAAAGAAATGCTGCCGGCACACCAGCAATAAAAGAAGCTCTACCTAGAGGAAATTTGCTCTTTCACACACACACACACACACACACACACACACACACTTAAACGAAAAACAAGCACACACACGCACACAGATGTCTCTGTCCTCCCATGCATGTTAATCAGCCCCACAGCTCCAGGGTCTTATAGAGTGGACTGCCATCATACATGCACATGTAGAGATATAGAGATATAAATCAGTCAGGCCTTAGACACAAATAAACAGCCTCCAAACTAAAGCCATTTTAATTGTGAAACCGTCCTATAAAACTTCCTTCTTTTCAAACACAAAAGAAAACACAATTGCAGAGCTGAAGAGATAAGGCCGTGAATGGGAGAGAAACATTTCAACCGTAACTCAATTGAGACGCCTAAACCAGCAGAACTAGGAAGCTTTTTCAAACTGTTTCCTTCAATAATGCTAATCTCGCTTCATATTTACGGTTGTGACAGGATTCTTCATGGAAAAAGAAATGCTGCCGGCACACCAGCAATAAAAGAAGCTCTACCTAGAGGAAATTTGCTCTTTCATAGCTCAGGAGACTTGGATTTTCAGTCAAATAAATAAGATCAAATAAAATGTATTTAGAATATTTTTTTATATGATTGCTAGCATTTTAGAATATTTTTATATTAAATAAATATTTACAATTTATTTAAAATATTAAAATATATGATTAATAGCATATTTTTTTTCATAGCTCAAGAGAATTAGGTTCTCAGTAAATAAAATACAAATAAATATTTAACATTTATTTAAAATATAAATGTTTTATATGATTGGCAGCGTTTTTCATAGCTCAGGAAAATTAGGTTATCAGTAAAGAAAATAAATACTTAAAATGTATTTGAAATATTAACGTTTATTATATAACTATTCATCAGGTTCTCAGCAATTAAATATAAACAAAAGTAAACATTTAAAATTTATTTGAAAAAATATTACAAATGTTTTATGTGATTATTAGCGCCTTTTACATTTTTTTTAAGAAAATCATTTTGCGTAAGTAAAAGTCTCCATTTGCTCTCTGTTTAATCTATTTTTTGTCTAAAAGAAACGGCTGAGTTGCTAAAGTTCTCATCTGTGATTTTTCTTTCTTATGGAAAAAAACCCCATAAACATCAATATATTGTGCCCTTTATCCAACAGCAGTTGCCTTGAACAACATCAGCCGTAATATTGCAAGCAGCGCACGTTCTCTCTCACCTCTGTAAAGAAACATTAACGTCTCCCACAGGCATAAACAGAGCAGCGGCTCTGCCTTTTACATTTTTTTTAAGAAAATCATTTTGCGTAAGTAAAAGTCTCCATTTGCTCTGTTTAATCTATTTTTTGTCTAAAAGAAACGGCTGAGTTGCTAAAGTTCTCATCTGTGATTTTTCTTTCTTATGGAAAAAAAACCCATAAACATCAATATATTGTGCCCTTTATCCAACAGCAGTTGCCTTGAACAACATCAGCCGTAATCTCAAAGTATGTGTCCTTGTGTGCATGTGTTCAATATTGCTGACAGCTGCTCTATTGAATTTCGATGCTGTCTAGGAGAAACGACTGTGATATTAAAAAGATCTAATCTGTGATTATTGTTTCCTGTAGGGAATGTTAAAGAACTTCTGGAAGAACAAAAGGATGTGAGGGAGAGGAAGATAAAAGAAATGGGTAAGAGAAAGGGAGAAACAAGGTGAGCTAAGCAGAGGAGGATGGTGGGTAAGGAATTTTTTTTAGTGTGAAGGGAACAAGGGGGAGAAAGAGAATGATGAGACAAGCACAGCAGAGGAGACGGGATGAGTAAGGGATACGGGTAATAAGATGGGAGCAACGAGAAAAGTGACGTGAAAGCAAATTCCAAACAAGGAGGATTATAGGAAGGCCACAAAAACGCCAGGCGTTAAAAAGAAATAGAACAAGCACAACAAACAGATGTTGTTTGTTCATCATGTCTGTATTATAGGCACATTTCTCATATATTACTGCTGTGCGTTATGCACTACATAACCATTCATTTGAGGCCACCCCAACGGTTTCCCAGCATTCAATACCCTTCATATTTTATGGGCTGTGCTCTATAAAAAGAGCCTAAGTGGTGCTGGAGCCACACCAACAAACTATAGAAAGCTTTGGCTTCTCGTTCTAAGTGTCAGTGCTCATAGCAGTGCTCATCTTGCACAGAATCCTTCTAGCCTTTAGCAGTCAATCCTTTTTTCTAAATGGCAGACGAGTCCATTGACTCAGTTACTGATTAATATTGTCATTTTGTGCATATTTGTGCCCGAGTGCTTTGCAGAGATTAAGATAAGATGCCCAGCAAATTGCAAGTAGTTATTAATGAGATTTGCCAAAATTAGACAGGTTTGAAGGAAAACGGAAAAGTCGAAAATGCATGAGTATCTTTTTGTGAATCTCCTTCAAATACAAACACTAGACACATCATTTACATAACAATGAATGGAAATCTCATCAGCCACTAACCTGGCTGGTCCAAATGAGGGGGGCGGGGCTCGTTAAACCTGTGACCCCGCCGTTTGTCTGGCCGTTCTTTGGCTTTCTGCTTCAGACACTGAATCATGAAGTATTCCAGCTGTATGAAGATTCAAAGGCAAGCGTGTAAATAACATCCAAGTACACCACAAATCACACCAACACTAAATATGGTGGAATATTTGCAGCTAGTTAGAAAAAATGTGTCAAAATTGTGTCTTTAATTGTGTCTTTTGTCACCATACCTTTAAAGGGACAACTTTTTAAACAAAATGTCATCATATTTTTACTATAAAAATCACAGTTACGGTTATGCACACTTGCACAGGAAATCTATGGGGCAAGATTGGCTGATTAATAAAAGTATTTCTCCTAGTGTGAGTTTCAAAACCACAAACAGCCTTGTCAATGGATAGTGTACATTTTCTGCTTTCATATATTTTTGGTGAATTGAGTAAACAGCTTCTATTAAAATCAAAACAATCTCATCAATTTTACGTCCTCATTTTATTTTTGATTTTACATTGTATTAGTCCATTGCAATAGTACAGTGCTCCAAAGTGGATGAAGTTGAGAATGAAATTTCTGTTGGAAATAGGGTCGGATGTTTTGATGAAAATAAAGTTGACTTCACAAAAAAAATCTAAAAACTTTTTGTAATGTGAAGATCATTTGAAAATAAAGTAGAGATTACAAGAAAACAAACTTTTTGATATGTGAAGAACATGAAAACATTAAATCAAATAACTTGTTATGCCAAGATCATAAGAAAATGAAGCTGAGATCATGAGAAAACAAAAAAGGAAATAATATTAAAGCACAGCTTTTATAAAAAAGACTTCAATAAAATATTGTGTAAAATAAGTGTCGATTTTAATTCAGCAATTTTGTGCACATCTTAATTAGTAGCATTAGTAACATTAGTACACCTAAACCATACTGGTTATCGGCTGATATATATCGGTATTGGCCAATTACAAATATATATTGACCAATATTGGATATTTTGTCCTCATGTATTATTTGTCTACCACTAATTTAACCCTTTAAGGGTTGCTTCCAGAATGCCTTGCCCTATAGACTTCCACTACAAGAGCATTTCTGTAAACATGTTTTATGGTTGTGTTTAAGCTTAAGGATGAGAAAATTACTGTCTCCATATTGCATGTGATAGAGACTGTCAAGTTTAAAGTTTAAATTCTAATTAGCCATTTAGCAGACACTTTTATCCAAAATGACTGAATAGAAGTAAACTTATTACACTCTCCCTGGAGCAACCGGGGCTCAAGGTCTCAGTGGTGATGGATGGGTTTTATATTTCACCCGAGGCATGTAGTTTATAAATTACCCCTTACCGGGTGTGAACCTCCAACCTTATGGTTACCAGCCCGGAACCGCTAAACCACAAGTACAGTTCTTCTGCATACTAATGAGACTTCTTAACAATGATTAAGAGAAAAAGAGACACTTACCACACTGCCAAAGTAACGATCCACAAAAAAGTTGTTTAGAGAGGGCAGCTCCAGGTAAGTGGCCCCCAGGTCCCTGGACAGCTGGAGCCCCTCACTGTGGGGCACACAGCTGCTCCAGTCGGACGCACACAGAGGACATGTGCACGGTGGGCCTTCATCTGTGGAGGGTGACAGAGGGAAACAATAAAAATGTGATGCACTCTTAAAAAGGCATTTTTCACAGTGATGCCATAGAAGATCCGTTGATCCATCCAGTGAACAGTTCTTAAAAGAACCATATTTTTCTTAGTGTAAAAAACATTTTATTAACTTTTGTTTTTATTCTCAAGAACTTTTTTCCACTATAAGGTACCTTTTGTGCAATGGAAAGGTTCCATGGAACCACACATGCCAATTTTTAAGTGTATATGCATATGCAAACGTATTACTGATGCACATACAAATGACATTTGTAGAGCAAGGGGCCAAATAAAGCATGACTCATACTGACAGAGAGTACATACCATTCAGAGAGATGTCAACAGGCAGACATATGGAGCAACAAAATCTGAGCCTTTATTACATAACAACACATGCCAGCTCAAGTTTATACCAGCGTAAATTTAAACATCACTGCGTGTGTGTGCGGACGGGTAGAGAGAGAGTAGCAGTGACAGAATGAGAGAGCAGGGATAGCTGGATAAAAACAATGTGTGTATGTGTGTGTGTTAGGAGGAGCTGGCCCGGCCAGTAGGGCGAATGCCTCAGGGAACAGAAGAACACGTAAAATGATAGCAAGAAAAGACAGCTAAATGGAGAGAGAGATAGATGGAGTGAGAATGGACGAGTGGAAGAAAGAGACGTGAAGAGGGCACAGGCAGGAAGAGGAATGAATCACTGTAGCCAATAAAAGAAAAAGCCCGGAGAAATGGAAAAAGATGTACCGTATGAGTATGTGTGAGCATGTTTTAACCATGTTTACACTCTCATTTTGCCTTGGGTCTCTCCAGGCAAAGCAACAAGAAATACAGCACAATTCTCATGACACAAACGCATTAGCATGAACAGCACTATTACTCATACTTAGGAGTATTAGAAATAAACAAACCCTTGAGTGTATATCCTAAAGGCGTCGTTCAGCCAAAAATGTAAATTCTGTCATTATTTACTCACCCTCATATCATTTCAAATCTGTATGTCTTCCGTACAACTCAAATTAAGATATCCATTGGAGCCCACTGGCTTTCATTGTATTTTTCAATGACATCTCAAGGTATTTTTATATGTTTTGTCAGTCTGAATGAATCCAGTCTGATTTCAGGTTCTTCAAAAATTCTGTTTATATGAACCCTAAACATTACAGTCCGATTCACATATTTGATTATGTTAAACCAGATGGTAACATGCGAGCAGCATAGGTACTTTTGAATCCATTTGAGAAAAGATTCAAACGTTTACATGCATAGTGTTTTTTTTTTTACCTCTTTCAATAAAAATTGAACAATTAACAATCAGATCGAATGAGGTGTTTATATAATGGCTTTTCAGTCTACTATGTGGACAGACCTGTGGGACATAGAAAAGCCTTTAGCAGTTTACAATTACAATCCAACCGGTTGTCTTTATATAAGCAATCACAGCTCACAGCATTTACACACAGTCCTCAACACTCTCTGCACTGTAAAAATGTTTGTAATTTTTATGGAAGAATTTTTTTTTAAAAAATGCAACAGTTAAAAACCTGTTAATTGCTTAACTGTAAGTTACTCTTCCATATACAGTGAAGTACTGTAACTGGTTCAACACTGCAAAATGTGTCATTTTACAGTAAAATACTGTCAAATTTTTGTTTTTTTGCAAGTAAAAACAATGAATTACCTTCGCAGTTCAGTTTTTTGTTAGTTCAAGTAGATTTGTATATTAACATTATATCACTTAATGAAATACACAGTTATCAGTGAAAAATATACAGGCAGTATTTTAGATCGAATGAGGTGTTTATATAATGGCTTTTCAGTCCAACTGGGTCATCAGTCCGATTATAAACAAATTTTTTGAATGTATGTCCTGTATGGAAGCTGCAGACAGTCATGCAGGTTTGGAATGACATGAGGTTGAGTAAATGATGACAGAATATTAAATTTAAGTAGACTATTCTATTAAACTGTGTGAATAACTCATTCTACGCTGTTTGTGCCATATTACATTTCCAAGTGACTGAATGCAGGGATTTACAGTTTACAGCAGGGATTCCCAGTTTTTTGTTAGCTGACTCCCTTTGACATCAATTTTTTACTTGAGATGCCAACTAAGAATTTAGCAAAATTTTTCAGTAATTTAACAACACATTCACATGTTCGCCATTCTCTAATAACCACATGAAAATAAACAAAATATTTCAAATAAAAACAAATAAAATATATGTATTTTAGTAGGATTTTTTTTTATAAATGACTTATTTAAATTTTACATTTTTATGATTGAATTAATTAGTAGTTTTTCTTCAAACCTCTGAACCCCAACCTGCTGAAGAACCTTCCGCAAGTCTTAAACAAACCCATCATGTTCGTTTCTCCTCCATTATCCTTCAGGGATAAATGATGTAGCTGGATGGAATCACATCTTGATGAATTATACATCTCAAAGGTCACACTGTGAGCACAGAGCTGCCGTTTTTATAGCGAATGGAGCCAAATCTTTGGTCTAAGTGCTTTGAGTCTATAAATGTTTACCTATGAGCATATTCAACAAACGCTTATGGCGCAACCGCATTCAGCACATCAAAAGAACTCCAAATCTCGGCTCGATCAGACTTCTTCTTTTCCCTTGAAGTCAGAAGCTTTTCATATGCTGTGTTGCTTTTGAAAATCAGTAATGGGTAACTAGTTCAACACCACAGTTCCATATGTTTCATTTATTTCAATTACGTGAATGTTGCTCTTTGTCATTTCAGGAAAGTTTAAAAGTCAATTTTACTGTCTAATGCCTTGATTGACATGAGGTAATTAAGATTAAATTATCATTAGTACTTGACATTATTTGCTCTGCTTACAGTACTTAAGCACACATTCCATCAGCAAAACCATCAGGCAATTTTTAACCAGAGTTTAGTTAAATTGTTTCCATTAAGTCCATTATCTCCCAAGTCTGCACTACAAAAGGCTGACAGACATTTATTTTTCTTTAAAACTTCGTAATGGAGAAAAATACCTCAAATGAACTCTAAACAAATGCAAAACAGAAACAGCCAATCGCATCTCACCATTTAGCCTCGCCCCCACGGCTACCAGAATCACAGGAACACCCCAGTGTCGAAAAAGAGGGCGAAGTCTTGGGGCGTAGACGTTTCGGACCTGCTGAAAGGCCAGCTTGTCGTTGACCGAGTACTTAATGACCACGATGTCGGCCTGCTCCAGAACGCTCCGGACGCTCGCCCAGTCGCTGTCCAAAAGGTCCTGCGATTAAAACGAAGGTTTTAACCTGTGATGTTTATAAGGGCATATCTCAGTAGCTCAGCATCTGTTCCACCAATCAGCTGATATCACTGCCATAGCAATATTCCTCTTAGTCCACCAATCAGGTGGAAACAACTCCCTTCCCTGAGTCTGCAGAAACCCTAATCCTGCTTTAGAATCCCATCATCCCTCTCTCATTCACTCTGTTACTCACCCAACTGGGACAATCCCGCACCATCACTCTGACATCCCCGAACACTCTGGACTGGTACTCCATAAACGCAGGGTTCAAGGGATGCCTTGATGGCGTCACTGAGTTTGGATCCAATTCCCGAGCTCCGTGGCCCAGGTAACTCCACAACAAGCCACCTTGGATCTGTCCCGGGCCGGTCGTCTCGTCCCCAGGCCCGACGCCCCCAGGACACTCGCTACCAAGGGCCACTATGTGGACAGACCTGTGGGACATAGAAAAGCCTTTAGCGGTTTACAATTACAATCCAACCGGTTGTCTTTATATAAGCAATCACAGCTCACAGCATTTACACACAGTCCTCAACACTCTCTGCACTGTAAAAATGTTTGTAATTTTTATGGAAGAATTATTTTTTTTAAATGCAACAGTTAAAAACCTGTTAATTGCTTAACTGTAAGTTACTCTTCCATATACAGTGAAGTACTGTAACTGGTTCAACACTGCAAAATGTGTCATTTTACAGTAAAATACTGTCAAATTTGTGTTTTTTTGCAAGTAAAAACAATGAATTACCTTCGCAGTTCAGTTTTTTGTTAGTTCAAGTAGATTTGTATATTAACATTATATCACTTAATGAAATACACAGTTATCAGTGAAAAATATACAGGCAGTATTTTACTGTGAATTTCTAGCAACCACAGCTGACAAATCTATATATAATAGTAAAAACCTGTTAACTGTAAGTTACCTCACTGGTAATATACCATATATATATATATGGTATATATATATGCCTGTTATAATGCAATATTGCAATATATATATATATATGGTATATATATATGCCTGTTATAATGCAATATTGCAATATATATATATATATGGTATATATATATGCCTGTTATAATGCAATATTGCAATATATATATATATATGGTATATATATATGCCTGTTATAATGCAATATTGCAATATATATATATATATGGTATATATATATGCCTGTTATAATGCAATAT